ATGAAATATAAAAATTATAATAAAAAAAAAAAAAAAATTAAATTAAATTAAAGTGCCTAGTAGTCATATCATATCGCATCTAACTGCCGGTTGCGCCAGGGCAGTCGAGTGAATGTCAAGAGTTATGTAACGACGTAACACGCCGGACGCCCGCGGAGCGAACGGGGGTGCAAAAGACATGCCCTTACTGTTTTGCTGGCATCTGAGGTTGCCGCGTTTGTAGAAGAACACCATGCGGTAGAACTTGCGACATCCGTTGCAGGAGACGTGACCGTAGTGGCAGCTCACCGTTTTAAGCTCCGACGTGCCGCACACCTCACACTTCAATGCCCTCTTCTCTGTAAAAAAGCATGTGGCCAGTGTGTTAGTAGTGCACTAGCTATCACTACAAGAAGCAGTTGGGTGGGGGAGAGATGTGTTGGTATTGTGGATCGCAATGATCGACGGCCTTTTTCACCATTTTAGGCAACGATAGGTCGGATAGAACTAACGATTTTAGTCGTTATTAGTATTAGACATTCGATCGTCACACGTCATTCCTATTTTCTCACATGTTTACGTTCACACGTTGAACATTTTCATTTTCCTTTGCGAGAAACGTTTAGGTTTTATAGGAACCAACCACATTAAATTCAGTTTGCAAAAACAGAAATAATATCAATACATACTGTTCGGGTTCATTTTCGAAAGCGACCCTTTCACGTCGGGATTTGAAACCTGAAAACCAAAAGCACAAAAACATATTACTTAAAAAAATGTCAAAACTGCTGAGAAACAGATATTCTTAACACAGTGCATTCAAAGTACCAACAGTAAATTAAGTTATCGGCACGATGCTGTCTACAAATCGTTAGAGTGGAGTCTGGCAGTAGATCAGCTGTGAGTGACCATAAATCATTGTTTTTCTCGTGTTTCTACTCCGCACTAGGGTCCCTGTATACAGAGAGTTGCGCCATGACGAGTCGGAAAAAATCGGTCACGTGATCGCTGCCGGCATGTTGTTTCCAAATGGATC